ATATAAATTACTTACCTAATCCAGTACTTGTCGCGAGATAGGATGACTGGGACCACAAGAGAGAAAGTGGTAAGACTCGTCAAGGAAGCACGGACAACGGAAAAAGAAAGGTGATTAGTAAAGAACTCGGCTGAACAAAATCACATGCCTCAAGTAGAGAAAGCCAAAAACCTACCTGACATTACGCGAGTTTCTACTGCCATTAGCGACAGACTCGCCGAGAGAGACATCAACAATAGGCACTAAACAGTCTATATTATATTTCTCATGAGATCTATGCCAAACCCATTGCTGACCATCATTTTTGAATAAAAAAAACTGGGATTCATCACTCCAAATGATTGTATCTTATTGTTTATTCCAACCTTTACATTAATAACACTCTTTTGAGCATTTTATTTTGTTATTCTCAGAAACAAAGACTTTCTCTTCCCAATATGGCCAAAAAAGTTATGGTTATGAAGTACACATCTTGCAGTACAAGTACTAACCTGAGTAAGGTCTAGGCTATTAAACAACTCAGTAATCTCTTCAAGTGATTCTTTCCTATTATCTTTGGTTACTTGCACGAGTTCACTCTTCATGATCAGTCAAAAGAAGAGGTCTTCCTGAACAAGGAGAAACTCAGTCATCCCATCGTTTTTGAATTTATTAATGATATTAATGCAAGGAGTTCTGGATATTCCAATTATTTTTTGAATGTCTATAATGTTGTGGTTGCTCTTGTGAAGTCTGATAATCATTCTGCATTCAAAATCTGAGCATTCATGAGACTTAGACATTTTTTATAAAATATAGTAAATAAAATTAAAAAGTGGCTTTATAATTTTTGGAAGCTATGATCTTTATCTGCTCGGGAAAAAAAAGCATTTGAAATTAGATTAGATGTAAGGCAAAATATCTCATTTTGAATGTATGTTATGGGGCAGAATTTTATTTGACGATCACAAAGTGACGGATACTTTTGGCAGGGGGGTGTATGTCGAATCTGCTTATTTTTTGAACTCTCTTACATTATCAAGTTGTTTGCATGGAGAGAGCAAAACTGAAGGCGAGAAAGGATAAACATATAGATAATGATAAAAAGAAAATCAAAAATATGATGTAATTTTTTAATAATATAATTGTATTTTGACGCTTCATAACGATGATAAGTATGCATAGATATTCGAGTATATGGTGCCATCACTTATAAAACTGAACTCTTCCTTACAATACTTGATTTTTGTGGTACGTAATAAGTGAAATTGATTTCATAATTGACATTACTTTATTTATTCCATTTATTAGATTATCGGGAACATATTGATTGTTGAATTGGATTATTTAATCTTGGTCAGACATGCTTAACTTTGTTTATGTGTATGAGGCTAATAAATGGGCGGTAAGTTAACTGTGTTTCAAGAAAAATTGAACTGAAAATTTTTATTTTTATTCAATAAAATGTAATAACATTTAAGTTAGATTAATTATATTTTATAAAAACTCATTTTATTCTTATTTAAAAACTTTATACAGTATTTACTTTTTTAAACCTCTTGTTTAAAAAGTAAAAGATTTATAAATATACAGTATATTAATTACTTTGCTTTCTCGGCATTTTGAAAATACTTATTTATACGACGTATGTATATTGATAAATAATTCATACCTAAATGTATTGAGAATGAGATAACAGATCAAGACGAGTTGCCTAAACAACGTTGTCTGAGTGCCAAGAAATTTTACAGAACTTGGATCGATCAAATTTCCAGAGCGAGAAATTCTCGATCATATAAAAATACATGAATCTTAAGATCTTTGTCACATAACTTTAATCAGAATCAAAGTGAAAATAAATCTAGTTCGAATCGGGTGTACAAACTTTTAATCATGTAAAAATCAAATGGTCTTTACCGTGTTCACTTTCTTTATTTTTTATCCGATCACATGGGTGTGGTTTAGGGTCACATGAATCTTTATTTACTTTAGAGTAACACCATAAAGTAAACATTTACATTGACTATGTTGTAATAAGCGCCCTTGTACTGAATAGTGCGGGATTGGATAAAAAAATTTTTTTGTTCTTTAAAACATTCTTGATTTTCTTTCGCATGTAGTATTTCTATAGTACGGTACTATCTATTTCTGTTTAAATTAATTATTTGAAAGATTACTACAGTAATTCATTTCAATACGTAACATTACAATCTTAAGATAAAATACAAAGAAATTTATTTCCTATAAGCTTGTTGCAATGATACTTAATTCGTTACTAATTTTATTAGCATATTTCTTAACTGTAACAAATTCTTTATCAAAATCTTCACATTATGCGCGTTGGTCGCATGCATCAGCATTAGTAGGTGATAAGTTATATTTTATGTGTGGAGTGATAGACACTAAAAACACTGTCGGCTCAAGCTCAAGAGATCTATTTTACCTTGACTTATCGAAAAATTTTAAAGATTCGTTACCAATTATTGAAATTTCATCTAATTTACCGGTAAAAAACATGTGGACAACGGCGAACGCATATGGCTCAACAATTTTTTTGTGTGGCGGCTGGTTAAGTTATGTGTCAAATGGGACTCTAGATAATATCGACTATGTTTTTACATTTTCAACTCAGGATAATACATGGCAAAGACCTTCAATCTATGGTACGCCACCGACTTCACATCCGCTTGCAGCCGTATCCTCTGTTATTGATAAAGCTGGAAAAATATATTTATTTGGAGGAGACAATGGTACTACAGCTTATAGTAAAATGTATATATTGGATACTATAAATTTAACGTGGTTAGATAGCAGCGATGCAGGCATGGCCTTTAATAAAACGCTCTATGCAAGTGTTTTATTAAATAATGGTGAGATTCTATACATTGGCGGTAAGGAAAATTATCCGTTGAATAAATTAGCCGATATTAATATACTGTAGTAAGTATCAAATATTATTATAAAGAAATGTTAAATTTTAAATAACAAATTTGATTTATTGTAGATTCTGGTATATGATACAAAATCTTCCGGGTGGTCTACAACTGTAAGCTTAATTTTGATTTTTCGAATATTGTACAGTATAATAATTTGATCATATTTATTTCTGCTATTGTAGAATGTAGGTGGTCCAATAATTGATTCACGCATTCATCATTCGGCTATTTTAGGTAAGAAGCTTTTCGAAAAACTTATATACTGTATATTATATACTAATTCATAATCTATAATTGAATAAACGAAAAAGCTCCAGACAATAAAGTTATAATATATGGAGGCTCTTTAAACAACCCTGCTGGTGACCTATCACAGCCTATTATGGTTTTCTTAAATATAAGTACAAAACCATATTCATGGATAATTCCAAACATTTCTACCCAAGATTCACCCCCATCACTCTTAAAACATACTGCTAATTTGGTTAAAGATTATATGATAATTGCATTTGGTAATTATATTATTGAAAAAAATTTTTAAAAAAATATGTAAATCTTAGTTAATAGTATATATTAGGTTTGTATCCATCGGGGCCAGCTGGTGCTGTGGCGGTGTCCAATGAGATTTATTTATTTGATATTCGAAAGAATGCATGGACAACAGAATTTATTTCAAATATAACTCAAGCAACAACTGGAAAACCAACTACAACTGAAGACCCAACTACAGCCAGTGTCTCAACTTCACCCACCACGAATTCAAATCCACAAAGTAGCACGACTCTAATAGCCATAAGTGTAAGCGTCACTATAGGTGCTATAATTTTAATAGCCTTGGCTGTATTTTTAGCCTATTGTTATTACAAAAAAAGGAAAATTCTAGACGTTCTTCGTATATTATAAGAATATACGGTGTTTTTCAAAAAAACTGGCAAAAAATTTTAGTATTTATTTAAAAAATTATATTTTAAAAGATATAAATTTAATTAAAACATTTGATTAAAAATTTATTATATCAATATTAATATTTTCTTAAAAATTTATTTAATTTATTAAAGTCTTTTATTCAAAAAGTAAAAACCATATAAACATACTGTATATACCATATACTAATCTACAGTTCTTGAATATTATTACAAAAAAAAATTTTTTTAGATTAAGTTTTTAACAAAATATATGTGAATATTAAGTACTGTAGCATATTAGAAATGACATTATTTTGATTTTGATTTTGGTTATTTTTTCCATATCTTTATTAATTTTACTTTATTAAATATTCTATTATTTACTAATATAGTTACACTACACTTATCCAATATATTTATTATAACTATCTATCTCTTATCCATATCCTTTTAATACAATTTTTGGTTAATATTTGACCATATTAATTCAAATACTAATAGATATTATAAATAATTCATCAATTCACTTTTTATTTCTCTTTTTTTTAATCTTTAACTTTCTGAATATATAAGCTGGCAAGCTAAAATTCCATTTTCTCGATATATAACATTAATGACTACTGTAACAGGGAGAAATGGAACGCGACTTCAGTCACGTGATCTATAGTCGCGACAATGGGAAGCCGGCAGTGATAATGAGGTAATAAAGGAAGGACGGGAGGATTGTGATAAAGGATTATGTCATCTAGATTTAGCCATGTCATTGTATTAGCACTTATTATTTCATGACCAAGCCGCCATAGCCAAGTGTAAAGGAAGAGAAATATAAACAACGTGTAAAAGTATAGAGACAAGGAGAGTAGTAAAATAAAAAAAAAAGAAAATTAATAAAGACTCGGTTAAATAAAAACGCGCCTCAAATCACCCTTTCGTTTACTTCCCTAATAACGGTTACGCGAATCTCTGCTAGAGTGACAGACTCGCCGTTACACCGTTACACTACCTTGTACAAATTCAAACAAATAATAATAACATGGCAAAAAAAAAAAAATACTAATCTATCCAACATTTGACATTATACCAAATTTATATACAGTACGCCTAATACTTCCCCGAAATATTTAATGTTTTTTCTATTATAAATCAAAAACATATCATTAATATTATCTATTATCTATTGTATTAAATCCATATCATACCATACTAACTTATTCAATATTTTACTAAGTCAATTAGCCACAATAAAACCTACTTCACTCACCCAACTAAACCTGATCATCAACTCAAATATGAAACCAAGAACCACCGATAATTACAAGATTTAAGACCTGCCAGTTTCAAAATAAAAATCATGGCAGATACCTACCAGAGCCAAATTGCACAAGCACTATCTAAACATCTACATCTGTCCAAAATATAATGTCACCTTTGAAACTTTTTAGCATGTCTTTAATCGTATCTACAGTACACAGTATATTAACGCCAAAAAAACAAATTTAATAATATTCTTTTAGAAAACTCAACAATAGCATTATCAATACAATTTGGTCAACTTTCCTATAACAAGACATAACCGTACTTCAATTAGTACTGGGAACTTCCAAACACCCTTCTTTTACTTGTCAAAACCAAAAAAAAAAAACCCCAAGGAACAATCTATGTAATATTAATTGCACGAAAATATAATTTATTGCAGAATGCAGCCACAGTGTGAATTGAGCATTCGTGAAAAGATTCCATATACAGTATTCATATATCCCTTTATCGTTATTATCTGATTATATGCAGATGGTTCTTGTAGCAATTGAGATAATAGTTTTTTCACCACAGTACCCTTTTATCTATTTTAGTTAAATTGATACGTAATTTTGTTTCATTTATGAATAGAAAAGCATGTGACGTAAAAATGAATTAACATTTATTTTCGGCGAATGTATTAGTTAATCGTCGCCAGTAATAATTAATTTCTCTTTTCTCGGACGCCGAAAGGTTAAAATGTCACGTGATCTTATTTAATGACATAAAAATCCCTGTTTTGAGTTTTTCCCACCGCGCTTTCAATCCCTTAAAATCGTAAACCGTCAAGTCTCTTCCAGGAAGATATGCATTATACTTTCTTGTTTCTTTTCCATATCTTTACGGCAGCCTTAAGAACAAATGACGCGTCCGCGATAGACTGCCCTGTTCTATTGGAAGCCAGTAAACTGTCAAGTTGTCATCGTATACGGCTGGCTGATTTTAAGATAAAAGGCTATTGGGTTTTTTTAGGTACACAAAGCTCCGCGATAGACTGTGTTGTTCTATCGGAAGTCAATATTCAAATTTTAATATTGTTAATTTATTGTTTAAATATTAAAATTCGATATTAAATTTGAGATCTAAATCCTATTACGATTCCTGTAATTGCGATTTCCAAATTTTTTTCTATACTGTACGTACTCCGAAATCTGCGGAAATTCTACTCGAAATGAAGCTGTATATACGTTACACGAATGCACGTCATTTAAATACGATGTATTATTTTATCATCTTATTGGTCTTTAAATCGTTACAGCATACAGTAGTTAAAGCTTAACGCTTACGTTAAGAATTGAATCAAATAATAAAATATGTCAGGTATTTAAATCGGATATTTTGTGTAAATAATTATATATAAACAAGATTCATAAATAAACATAAAAAATAGAGCCTATCGATCATTTTGGATGGTTAGAAGATGCAATTAAAAAGGGTCACATCAACTCTTTCGATTATAGTCAATTTTCTATTGTGAAGGAAGTTGGAAGGGGAGGTTTTGGTATCGTAGAGTGTGCAGAGTCAGAATTATTAGAAAAAAAGGTTGCATTAAAAAGTCTAAGAACTGACAGTGTATCGCAACTAGATGAAATATCTTTTAAGTAATTTCTACGTGAGGTAATTAAGAAAAAGATTCTTTAAAAAAACATTTTAAATTAAAATAAGGTTTTTCTTAGATAAAGTTGCTTAAAATTTTAAATCATTCAAACCTTAATAAGTTCTATGGTGTAACAAGAGGTTTGTAACTTTTAGTATAAATTTATATTTTTATTCATAATTGTTAAGAATATTTATTTCAGACCCAAAAAGGAAAATACATATGCTTGTATTGCAATATGCGAATGAAGGAAATCTTCGTAAATATTTGGCCACTCAAAAGGATTCACTTTAATGGGAAGATAAACAACAAATATCTTTAGATAATGCGAAAGGAATACGCTACCTGCATTCAAAAAACATTATACATAGAGACCTGGTAATTATCTTATGCATTGATAGTTAATTTACTTTATTGATTTATGTGTTAACCTTGGATTTTCTATTTAAGCATTCAAAGAATGTTTTAGTACATGAGAATAGAATGATGATAGCAGATTTTGGTCTTTCTAAATGTTTAGATGAAAGCACAATGACAACTAGTTCGGCTCTTAAAGGAATGCCAGGATACATTAATCCACAGTGTGTTCTTACGTATGGATTTAAGAGAAACAAAAAGTCGGACATTTTCAGCTATGGAATCATTTTATGGGAAGTATCGAGTTGCAAACCTCCATGTCCACCGCTCAATCCAATTGAAGGTACTCCCAGAAATTTTGTTGAATTGTATAAAAGATGCCAAAATATAACTCCAGACGAACGACCGAATATAGAAGAAATAGTTTCTATTTTACAGACTCTTGCTTATTAAAAGATTACGGCGATAATAGCAAAAATTCTTTAAGTCAAGATCATTCTATTACTAATTTTTATCCAAAAGATTCAATGTCAATGATAGATGAAAGCTACGCGGCATTAGACACTAGACAATAGGATATACAAGTTGACAAGAGGATATATTCAGAGACTACTCTTCAAAATTGGCGGAGAGAAGCTAAAGAATCGTTCAGAATAGGTAATTTTATTAAGTCATTAGAGCTTTGGAAGCAAATCCTCAATAATCCTTTGCATACTGTACGTCGGAAGACCTTGAAAATGGATCACAATGGGATTTATCATATTGTTTAATAGGAAAAGGGCTAGTCGAGGCATTAATCAAGAATACCATCATTACAAAATTAAATTTGCACGATAGTGAAATGAGTGAATCTACTGTAAAAGCACTTACCGAGACACTAAGCAAAAATACTACGCTGACTATTACTGATTTAGATCTAAGTTGTTGTTATATAGGAAAATCGGCAGGAAAAGCGCTGGCCGAGGCTCTATGCAAGAATACCACTTTGACAGTATTAGATATAGGTCGTAATGTAATAGGAGAATCGGCAGGAAAAGCACTGGCTGAGGCTCTATGCAAAAATACCACCCTGGCAGTATTAGGCATGGGTTATAATTTTATAGGAGATTCGGCAGGCAAAACACTGGCTGAGGCTCTATGCAAGAATACCACCCTGACTGTATTAGATATAGGTTATAATTAAATAGAAGAATCAGCAGGAAAAGCACTGGCTGAGGCTCTATGCAAGAATACCACCCTGACTGTATTAGATATAAGTCAGAATTCAATAGGAGATTCGGCAAGGGAAGCAATGGCTGAAGCTAAAAGGACTCGACAAAGTTATATTAACCTTAATTATTGATGATCAATAAATCAGATAACTTATAATAATGAAATTCTCCGTATTTATTTTAGGGAGACATAAAAATTATCAAAAATTATTATTTAAATTATTATTTTACAACACTTCGTATCTTAAAAGTATTTTTATGGGTAGCTGAGGATAGGGTTGATATAAAGCTTATAGTTTTACTTTTGATTTCTTAAAGCTTAAATACAAAAATTGCAAATTATGTGTTCTATATGTTCGGATGGATATCAAAGTTACTACGTTTTTGTTGATTTTCAGAGTTTAAGTGGTATTCATAGGCATAGTCGTTAGGCATAGCTGGAAAGTCATCATAAAGGGATGGCCGGCCGATGTGTTAACAACAGAACACCTATAAATCAATTAACGTTTATCAGGCAAATGAACAAATCATTGCTAAATTTGAATTTATTGAAATAGAAATATGTCATCATGATTGGGAACAAAAAAACGAACATAAATTGAATGATTTCTCTTAATAATCGAATTATTTCGCTTAATTTTAACTACGCACAAATCCCGCGCATTTGTAAACTAATATGTGGTTCTCGATTAGGTCATTAAATGCTGTGAGCTTCTGGTTATGCGGTTGAAACTAAAAAAAGTAAAATAAACAGCTTATGTAAGTAATCAAATTTTCTATTTTATGAGAAAATTTGTTATTCAAATGTACACTTTCTTTTCATTGAATAGCATAATGTATACTGCAATGCGTGGTTGTTGGAGAAAAGAACGATATATCCATTCAAAAGCTTTTCAAAATACACAGCTAAACTACAATAAAATATATTTGACAGATTTGAATTCGTGATGTTTATGAAACGAACACAGAAGTACATTGAAAACTGAACGCATTTGTTAAGAATATTAAAAAAATATGCATTATTAATATTCTGACTTTAGACTTTAAAAATTGCGGGTGCGTATTTAAAGTTTTTAATTGCTATTCTGCATATCAATGACGATAATAAGGAAAGCAATTGCAACAATAACGATCTCGCTGACTATAAGAATGAGGAAGGCATTAACAATAGCAATAATAATGATAGCAACAATTATGGTCGCAATGACGATAATGAGGTAATGTAAACGAAAAGAATATATAATTTTTGTCTATTTTGTCAAAAATTTCATGCAAGTGGTCTTCTTACAATTTCTGTTTCAAAGAAAAGACAGTTCTAAGTGTAGCCGGAGGTCCATGACGGGGCAATTATTAAATATTGAACAATAATTTTTTAGAATATCTTGCTCAGCTGGCGTGACTAATATATCACAATCCAAAATACCATTTACGATTTTCTATTAAAACAAACAAAACAGATCAATAATTTTTTCCTACTAGACTTACAGTATATGCAAAAAAAGGTCTTTAACTATATTACAGACAAAATTCTTAGTTTCCTCAACAACTTTTTTAGTGCCGATCAATTCGAAAAATTGTCATTACAGTAGTAAAAGGATTTGGAATTATTACATGCTAGGAATCACTTAAAGGAACATTAAATACAATTGTAAGTTAAAGGTTTGGAAGGCACTATTTTTTTTAAATTAGTACCAATCGTTAATCACTTATAAATACACATGGATAGCGTCGAAGCTTTCTCTTTGGATGCACTTAACACTTTGGGAGATGTTACGATTTTGAAAAGATCCCATTTAAATCAATTATACACCCCTTGATCGATAATTCATTTTGAGTTTTTTCAAATATAAATTACATATAGTAAGCCATGGGTGTCTTCATTATTTCTCCTTTTGATTTTCTTTGAACCGATTACAATTTTCTTATTAATGGTGAAATTCTTTTAGAAGGAAAGACCAAGGTCATGACGGAAGGCGTTGGATATCTTACGGGGTTTCTAACTACCAAGTTGTTGGCATGGAGGTATAACCGGAGGTGAGAAAGGGTAAAAATAAAGATAACAATAAAAAGAACATCAAAAACATGATGCAATTTTAGAATAATATCCACAGATCTTCGAGAATATGGTGCCACCGCTTATAAAACCGTATTCTCCCTTACAATGTTTGATTTTCGTGGTATGTAATATGTAAAATTGATGTTATAATTGATCTATTAATTTGTTGATTCTATTTTATTCGATTATCAAGAACATATCGTTTGTTTGAAGTGAATCGTTTTAACCTCCAAAATAGAATGAGCAGGCATGCCCAACTTCGTCTTTGTGTATGAAGCTCCAAAAAATGTCACTGTGTAGGAATAATCAGATAATTATTATGCCGTTGTATGTCCATCATACGAAAGAAATTTGATTGCCCAGCGCAAAAAGAGAAGATATCCAGAAGCAAGAATTGTCAAAAAGCTCGTGCGTCTAACATACAATGCATAATATTGACAAATAACTCGTACCCAAATGTATCGGAATGCACCGAGAATGAGATAACATATTAAGACGCGCGCCTAAACAACGTTATTTGAGTGCCAATAAATTTTACAGAACTTATGTTATTCAAATTTTCTAGGGCGAGAACTTCTCGATCATATGTAGCATTGATAGTGTTGTGGGCGCGATCGGCGAGTCTGTCGTCTTCGCGTAATGTTGGTAGAAGGTAAGTATCGTTTAATTAAATCCTTGAGGCGTATAACGATTTGGTCGGTTCTCTTCTGCTTATTAATTTCAACACCTCTTGACCTATAGTTGAACTCTACTAGTCGCTAGGACTCTTCCAATTCTCCTAGTCAAAATTTAGTTCGTTTAGTCATGTGAGCAATTTATTGGCACTTAGACAACAGGCGAAACAGAAACACCAGGTAGGAGTTTATTTTAACAATAGTTTATTTTATTAGAAGTGGGACGTACAAGACTCTAAACGACATTCATGCTATTGAATGGCGCATGTATTTATACATGCGCCTGTTATTTACATGTTTATATTTATTTACTTATTCTAAAATTTCTCGGATTTTCCCACCTTAATTTCCCAACAATTCGCGACAACAGGATAACGTAACGTGACGTCGCGTTGCATGCCTGTGCCGATTTTACCCATAACAATAGCCATACTCAAATCTTAATCCTGTCTTTGCTAATCAGAATTAAAGTGATAATAAATCTGGGTGCACAAAACTTTAAATCTAGTAAAAATCACATGGTCTTTACCGTGAATATTTTATTTATTTTGATTCGATCACAGGGTGTGGTTTAGGGTCACATGGACCTTTATTTGCTTTAGAGTAACATCCTAAAGCAAACATTTACATTGACTATGTTGTAATAAGCGCCCTTGTACTGCGTACTTCAGAATTGGATAAATATTTCTGTAGTACAGTACTATTTATTTCTGTTTAAATTATTTATTTAAAAGATTACTAATTCATCTCGATATGTAATATTACAATCTTGGATAAAATACAACAAAATCTACTTCCTATAAGTTTTTTACAATGTTACTTAGTCAGTTACTAATTATATTAGCATACTTTTTAAATGTAACAAATTCTTTATCAACATCTTCACATTATGCGCGTTGGGCACACGTATCAGCATTAGTAGGCGATAAGTTATATTTTATGTGTGGAGTGGTAGACACTAAAAATACTATCGGCTCAAGAGATCTATTTTACCTTGACTTATCGAAAAATTTTAAAGATTCGTTACCAATTATTGAAATTTCATCTAATTTGCCAGTAAAAAGCATGTGGTCAGCGGCGAACGCATATGGTTCAACAATTTTTTTGTGTGGCGGCTGGTTAAGTTATGTGTCAAATGGGACTCTAGATAATATCGATTATGTTTTTACATTTTCAACCCAGGATAATACATGGCAAAGACCTTCAACTTATGGTACGCCACCGGCTTCACATCCGCTTGCAGCCGTATCCTCTGTTATTGATAAAACTGGAAAAATATACTTATTTGGTGGAGACAATGCTGCTATAGCTTATAGTAAAATGTATATATTTGATACTATCAATTTAACGTGGTTAGATAGCAGCGATGCAGGCATGGCCTTTAATAAAACGCTCTATGCAAGTGTTTTATTAAATAATGGTGAAATTCTATACATTGGCGGTATCGAAAATTATCAAATTGCTAAATTTGCCGATATCAATATAGTAGGTATCAAAAATTATTGTAGAAATGGTAAATTTGAAATAACAAATTTGATTTATTGTAGATTCTGGTATATAATACAAACTCTTCCGAGTGGTCTACAACTGTAAGCATAAATTTAATTTTAATATTTTCAAATATGATTATTTTATTTTATTTATTTTCTGTTAGAATGTAGGTGGCCCGCTAATTGATTCTCGCATTCATCATTCGGCTATTTTAGGTAAGAATTTTTTCGAAAAACTTATACATATTATATACTAATTCATAATCTATAATTAAATAAATGGAAAAGCCCCAGACAATAAAGTTATAATATATGGAGGCTCGTACAATTCTCCTGGTGACGCAGCACAGCCTATCATGGTTTTCTTAAATATAAGCACTAAACCATATTCATGGATAATTCCCAGCATTTCTACCCAAGATTCACCTCCAGCACTCTTAAAACATACTGCCAATTTAGTTGAAGATTATATGATAATTGCATTTGGTAATTATCTTACTTAAAATTTTTTAAAAAAAAATATGTATTAAATATTGGTCAACAATTTATATTAGGTGTGTATCTATCGGTGTCAACTCGTTTTCTAATTTTGTCCAATGAAGTTTATTTATTTAATATTCGAAAGAACGCATGGACAACAGAATTTATTTTAAATAGAACTCAAGCGACAACTGGAAACCCAAATACAACTGGAAACTCAAATACAACAACCGGAGGCCCAACTACAACAACCAGTGCCTCAACTTCTGCCACCGTGAATTCAAGCACAGCTCTAATAGCTATAAGTGTAAGCGTCACTATAGGTGCTATTATTTTCATAGCATTGGTTGTATTTTTAGCCTATCGTTATAAAGAAAGGATAACTCCAACTATTCTTCGTATATTATAAGAATACGTACTGTATTTAAATTAAATGCACTATATAAAATGATGCAGTATACAGTAAATCATATATTGTTTAATTAAAAACATATTCATATGCTGTATATTTTTTGGAATTCAACGCACCACGAAAATATTCGCTTGATTCATTTAATCTGTTATAATTTTATGGTAAATAATGTATGTGCTAGGTTTAAAAGGATCCAGCGAGCTAATTAAAAGAAAACATGTGAGACAGCACTTTAGAATAATATGGAGAAAATTTTGTTCTTCTAAACAATAAGAATTTGCAAGATATCTAAATAATTCTATCAAATATAATACCTGAAAAGAAAAAGCTCATCTTATACCCACATGCAATAATTTTCAATCTCTCAATAAATTGGTTAATGATATCAGAGTGCAACACATATTGAGAAAACTAAATTTTAATTCATTTAAAACAACTCATCGATCAAGTTTCATAGTGCAAGTGATCAATGCCATGAATTTTTATTATTTTGCATGTTGATGCATCCATCCCATCAGAGTAATAAGTTCTGGATAAATTCCATCAAACATTTTGGCATTTATATGCATTATTTAATCTCTTTCCATATACTAGTTCCAATACCTCCTATACAGTGCTAGTTATAAATAGTAGGAATTATAAATTTATTTTTATTTATTTATTTAAAAAATATTTATTAATATAAAATAGTTAAACTAATATGCTAACTAATATATATATATTTTAGCAGTTTATTTATATCCACTTTTGGTCACCAACTCTTTCAAATAATAAGGCATATTTTTTACTAATCTGATCAGCATGCTTTTTTCAAGTCCTGCTTATTTTGATCTAATTAATTCTTTAAACTTGATAGATACAATAGATTTTTTTCCTATACCTTCTTATTAATTTTTTTCTACTTTTTTTTAAAAAATCATCCACAGATTTTTGATAGATTAAGATCTGATGAGTTCAATGACCTGTTCAAAACATTTATATAATAATCAGTCAGAAATTACTTAATTGCCTTTTTTATGTACTTAGAATTATTATTATGTTAGAGAATCCAATCACAACCAATTATAATATATATATTAGTAAGATTATCTGCAAGAATTTGATAGTATTTTTCTTCATTATTATTTTGAGTAAACATATAAAATCCAACAGTACTCATATTAAAAAATATTTTATACATAAACCTTATATGGATATTTAATAATAAAATATTTTAACTGTTTTGTACCAACTGTGTAATAAACTTGGGTTATATTATAGAATATCTAAAAGATAAATTTGTCAAAAAAAATAACTCAGTTTTATTTTTAATTAATATAGGCCTTGATCTAATTTAAGCAATAATTTATATGTTTATTAATAAAAAGAAAATATATTTAAAGATTGTAGCTGCCTATTCATAATTTTCAAAAATTTTAAAAATAGTTCTTATTGATATTTTTAGGTTTAAATTATTGATATTTAATTTAGATACAAGTTCTTTGATAGAAATTTTTGAATTCTTTTTTATAATTTATTAAAATTATTCAGTTTCTTAAAAGACAACTTAAAAAATCATTTGGCTAAGATAAAGAATTTAAATTATTATTATTTTATGTTTTTTTTTTAAGTAGATAAATATTATTTTTTTATTTGATTTGTATATTAAAAGTATACATCATGAAAGAAACAATATTTTTCAAGTAAGTTACAATAAGTTTAATGCTATTCTGCTTACAAAAATTAGAATTAATTTTAAAAATTAATTTTAAAATAATATACAGTATCTTGTCAAAAAGTACCAAGCAGCTATAAGTACCTATTCAATACTAAAGAAAAAAATTAGTATAACTTTGAATCTATTTGATAATGCAATTGAAAAAGTTGAAATTGTTTTAAATATAAATTTTTGTGACTAAGATAGAAAAATCAATTGTTATTAATAACTCTTATATTGTGAAGATGTGTATTTTTTCTAAATTTTATTTGGAATTTATTGTTTATTCTTTATTGTAGTAATATAAGATTTTATTTTTTTTATACTGTTTAATAGAAAGGTATTTGCTATAGCACTTTATAGTTTTTATAGAATATTATATAATTAAAATAAGATTTTAGTAAATGCTTAAACCCAATTGTTGAAATCTGATAGAAAAAATATATTGTTAATAATACTATATACTAGTTTAACAATTTATTATATATAAGTTATTGGCTTTAAATTATTATTAGGATAAAGAATAAGATTAATTTATTTAATTATTTGATTAATTTCTTTTAATATTATTGAATACTTTAATATATATTATATATCTTCAATACAAAGTTTATACTGTATATTAAACAATAATAGTCTAAGTATTGATTTGAATATAATTAATAAATATTTTCTTATATAGTGTTACACTTGATTTTCATCCAAGATCTTTACTACCTCTTATACAATTTTCACTAACATTTACTCTTGAAATGTTAGTTGTTCTAAAATAGTCTTATATTACAGATCTGTTACTGCATCTTTGGTATCTGTTGTACCTATTGCACTTTTATTATTTCTAGAATATTTCTATTTTATTTTATCTTTACTTTATATATTATTTTAGCCAAAGCATGACCTGTGGGTCTATAGTGTAGTGGTTAACACTTCACAGGTCAAATCACAAGATACCAGTTCAACCCCATATAAGGATGATTGAATAGAATTAATATGGTATCTGGTGCCATAACCTGTATAAGTGCTGTTTCTCATGAGAAGCTGTATCACACGCTGATCCAGCAGGCATTGAGATTGTAATTTCCAGAAAAGATGTTGTGATGCGACTATCATCCAGTTGGTATAACAATAATAATTGGAAGTTGTAAGATATATGAGGTGTCCACTTTTGATAAAGATGGCTTGGTGATCACTTTATTGTGATACCTGATGTCTCTTTCTGCAAGTTTCCAGAAAGGCCTTATTCCAATTTAGTAATAAATCATACCAACAGTTATCTATCCTGAGAAGACAGCCAAAACAGCAGTAAGTACCGATAGCTAAAACAATCTATAGGCTATAAGTCTGTGAGATAAGTTCCTTGAATATTTTTGAATAGCTCTAGGAAGGTGGAAATTAAATGATACACCCATCTGCAAGTGGTCGGGTTTAAAAGAATTCTTTCTGCAGTGATTCTATTCACTAAAAATAAGTACTACTCCCAGTTCTTTACATTCAAACTTCCCCTTAAAAATTCTATAGTGCCAAATAGAACATCACAATATAATAATAACACCAATGGGGCTTTGGCATGTTAGCCTCAGCACAACCCCTCTGTGGTGACGCTGACAGAAACAAGCCAATATGAAGTAAAATTGATATAGTCTAACGATATGTAGAATTGTTCATAGATAGTAGTTCCTGCAATACATGAAATACATATGTGAATAAAATAATAAAGTACGCTAGGCAAGGCCCAGCTGGTTAAACACAAAAAAAAAAAATTTTTTAGCCAAAGTATTTATCTATATAACTAATAACATAGTTTAGTATTTTGACAAAAATAATATCTATATTCTAGTTTATATTTATACTATAGCATATATTTATTATATATAAAAATATTATATCTTCAACATGTATAAAAATAGCCTTTAATTTATTTTAAAATTGTAAAAAGAATAAAAGTTCTATTCTAATAATCTAATAAACTGTTTTTTACAAATCATCAGAACTATATTTGTCTTCATGCAATTATAATTATTATGCCTCTTGCCTTATAATCTTTAAAACCCCAAGTATGCTTTCTCTATGAACTATAGCATAATACATTAGGATTGTGTCCTAAATAAAGTGTCTTCCTGCTATTAGTTCTCTGTCCTATACTGATCTTTGAGATTGGATTGACATATAACAAATTAATAATGACTGTAAAATTGTGACTTGATAATTTTTGCTACTTGTTGAAAATGGAACTTTTACTAATTACCCTCCTTATAAGACTGAAAAAATAATGACCAATTCTGCTTCAAAAACAATGTCTGGAAGAAATTCAACAATTGGTTTATGTCAAGTGAAAAGAGAGACATCATTTTCACTAAAAAAGAAGATTCAACCAACAAAAAAAGTGACAAAATAGCTTTAAGAAGAAGAGCAATAAAATAATAGAACACTAAAATGATTGTTATATAGAATTGATGATCTATAGTAAGCAACAAAAAAAGATTAATAATACTGCTACGACATTTTCCTTCTTATGCCAATCTATTTCCCATTATCTGCTATCAAAGAAACTTTTTCTCCAATTTGCCTTAAGAGAAATCTACCTTCTTTAATATAACAAATACTATGCATAAAGCTGAAGGTAGTATATCATATGCTTGAAGAAGTGACAGCAAGCTATTATGAAAATTGGCAAAGAAAAATAATGGAGCTGTAAAAGAAAAAAAAAATGATATTGAGTTAGTTATAGTTGTAAAAAAAAAAAAAAGAGAACAAGTCAAGAATAAATATACCTGTCTTGCTGCATAAACATCAACCTCAACAAACATAACAAAATGCAGATGAGCATTCATAATAAAATTTGGCACCACAATGTAAAATTGGAAGTTGCAGAGACAAGCTTCTAAAAAAAAAGTGGCATGACACTAGTTAACACCTGTCATCCTGGAGAAAAAAAAATAACATCTTACCTGTGGATAAAGATAGGTCCCTAAATTAAAGGCAAGAATATAATTCAAATGTTCTTCACTATTAAAAAAGTTTTTTTTAAATATAAGATTAAAAAAAAACTATCTACAAAGGTTTTTTGCAATCAAGGCCACTTGATTCAAGTGTTTTTTGAATTATGTCCCTATTAAAGTAATGAATAAATAATTATGTCCCTTCAAAAGG